CCCCAAAACCCCAAAACCCCAAAACCCCTTTTCATATTTTCAAATTGAAATTTATAATAAAGTTAAATTTTGCCAATAATTTTCTTAAATGGAAAACCCTTACAGAGCCAAACCCAAAGAAAGAAAGAAAAAGGTTAGGATCCAGGAAGAGAGAAGTCAGTTCATGGATATACAGGAGTCAAGGGATGATCCACCTGATTTCTATAGGTCGAAAGATAATATATTCAACTATGACTGGAGGTAAGAGAAAACAGCTTCATTTCTTCATTCAAATTCTTAAATTATAACGAATGAATTCTTTACAAAAAAGAGATTTCTTGGCAATATAAAGCAGATTCGATAAGCTAGCAGCTATACATTGCCATTATTTGTGAATTATCAACTAATATCATGAATATAGAGATGACCTCTCACAGAGTCAGAATACCAATACTCAGGACTGAAGAAGCAGTAGAGATATGGTTAACTTTGAAAGAGAGGAAGAGGAGGATCCACGAAGTTTGCCTAAATCACCAGAGCGATATACAAGCCAATGAACAGATCAATACACGGATTCCAACGATCAAGATAATCTAACATGCTTGCTAGACACTGTGTTAGAAGCTCAGGATAAGTACATATCCATGTTTCCAAATATGGGGAATTTAATCCACGAGAATGGTAAGCCCCTGACCTCATTCTAGAAACAAAGAGTTTTGAAGACATTACCTTCTGTATGTTACAGCAGGGCTTGTTCCTGTTTGATGAATACAAGAAGCTAAATACTCGAGTCAACAGTGACTACCTCTCCATCCTGAACAAACGCTTATTATCTGAAAATGACCAGTTGAAGAAGATTAAGGACCAGAGTAGTGAAATCATTAAAACACTTAATGAAAATCTCTGTCACAGAGACAAGCGGATCGAAGAACAGCTTGAACACACTAATAAGAATTTACCTAAAGGAGATGTAGCGAAGAGAGTAAGAAGAGAGAAGGATAGAAATGCTAGTGTTAATAAATAAGCTTCAATTTTAACTCAACCAGAAGGAAGAAGCCACCAAGTTCAAGGAGATATCCCTCAAAGCTTGCAATCAGGATATCAAGAAGCTTAGAAAATCTGTATTAGATCTGAAGGAATCTATTAATACTTATGAGGAGAAGAATCTGTCACTTCAGTCACAAATGAAGGCTAAAGATGATATTATTAAAAAATTTGAATCGAAAATCAAAGGCTTCCAAAATACCAAATCTATTGCTGTTCAAATGCAGATTGGAAACTCAGATGAACTTCAGAGGCTCAATACCTTAGAAGATTACGCTTTCCAACAAGGTACTTGTTGTGCATTATATATAGATTCTCCCATCAGAAACAAGAAGCATTCCAGTCGATCAAATGAGAGCATGTGACACAGAGAGAAACCTTTGGATAGAACAAAATCGAAGGTAAGCAAAAAGACTCCCATTCAAAAATTGACTGGTCTGAGCTATGATTCTCTGCTTGCAATGACCATTACATAAGCGAAGGAGATCGAGAAAGGTCTCCGTCATTTCGAAAGCATGAGCTATGAGGACTGAAACAACTGATCTGTGATCGACACTTCAAGATCTTTACAGAGATTCAATGTACCCTCATTCGATAAAATATAGTTTGAAAGAAAACAGAATTATTCTTAACAAAAAACAAAACCTGAAACTCGATTTGATCGTATTGATGCTGAGACAGTCACCAAAATCATCAAATATTTCCAGAGAGGAGAAGACCTAAGGCGAGTGAATTCTGGAAAGATCTTTCGTACTGCCCTCTCCCACTCGAGAACAAGCAAAGCTGTTGGATAAACTGATTGAAACTTCGTGACCATCAGCTCAAAGAGCTCCAGAAAGCTGAAATGAGAAACAGCAAGAAAGACCTTGAAATCGCAGAGGAGAACAAGAAACTCAAATCTGAGATGGATAGGCTTGCCATAGCTGTCGACCAGATCATGAAAGAGAAGGGGATCAACCTTGATTATACCCGAACCTCTCCAGCCAAAATACACAAATTTCAAGATGAAGTGGAATATCTTGAAGAACTGCTTAAAGAGAAGGATCATACCATTGCTCAGCTTGAGCATGACCTCAAGAATTTCAGAAGCGAAGGAGCTAACAAAGAGAATAGAGTTGTCAATGCAGAAGACAATTTATATAAAAGATCCAAACCTCAAGCCAAGAATGAACAGAGAGTGCTCGAAGATCGCATGATGGAGTTATAGATGCTATAATCCATAGAATCGAGTCCACTATTTATGCTTTTGAAACCAAACGAACTTTGCATGATGAGGACACCCATCGCCAATTTGATACGATAGAATCATCTTATGGAACTTATCCAGATGCTTTGAAGAATTTCTGTAAGCGACTTCAAACTTCTGAAAAGAGTCTCGACAAAATCATTTCTATTTGCTTGACTAAAGAGAAGACTGAAAGTCCTTGCAACAAAACTTTAGAAAGATCATCTCCGAACAAATCCTTTACCTGAACAGATCTCGCTCTTGAAAGAGAGGCTGAGCAGTTCCTCTCAAGAGCACACCAGAAATATCAAGATTTCTTTGACCAGCCAGATGCTGAGAAAAAAGACTGTATTTTCAAAGAGCTCTACAATATCAACCACCAGCTAGTGAAGCTTCTCCAAAAATCAGAAGATAGAGTTGAAGCAGAGGCTAGCAAAGCTCAGAGGAACAAGAGAGCCCTTGATGATGTCATGATAGCGATTCAGCAAGAAGATAGTAAGGAAGTGCTCCAAGAAATTAGAAGCATCAGTCAGACTCTTCTAGCTGAAAATGACCAGCTGGTTAGAGAGGTTATTGAACTCAGAAATGATCTGAGTAGGGCTAAGCAACAGGACCAAGATACTGATAAGTTGAGTTGATATAAAGAGCAAATTGACTTGCTTGAGAAGAAGAATCAACTTCTGACACAAAAACTAAAAAGTATGGAGGGTGATCTCCAGAATGCACACAACATCTTGCCTCTGCAAACTACTGCTACAGGCATCAAACAAAGGTTCGAAGAAACCAATGCTTCTCTTGAGCGGGCATTCGAACGGATCTGCATCCTAGAATCTGAGAACAACGAACTAATGGACTCAGTAAATTCTGCTAAATCTGAAAAGGCCAAGCTCCAAACAGAATTCGACTCTAGACTCCAAGTATTCGAGAAAATGCAGGAACAGAGGAGAAACCTGGAGCTTGAGAAGTCAAGCATCCGTGAGACTCTCCGCACAAACAAGGAACAGATGGAAGATATCAAGAACGAGAAGAAGGACATCCAGAGGAGGATGGACCAGCTCGCTCAGGAAAAGAAGATTTCCAGTTAAGATTTTTTATATTATCATTGATGATCCTGTATTAAAAATGAATACTCTTTATTTTAAACTATAGCTTGCCCTCTACTTTATAAAATAAGAATTTCACTACAAGTCTTTCAACAAGCTCACTTAAAACAGGGGTTTTGGGGTTTTGGGGTTTTGGGGTTTTGGGGTTTTGGGGTTTTGGGGTTTTGGGG